CGAAATTTAAACGATTTCGGTGAATAATGTTGCTGAAATCATCAAAATACCGAATATCGGGAGGTACCGTTATCTGGGGGCCATACGAAGACTTGGACCTGCGTAAAATACAAAAATTGTTGTCATAGGCTGTAGTACCCATTACGAACTACAAATACGAACTTTTAAATAATTCCGGTAAATAATGTCCCTAAAATCGTGGAAATACCGAATATCGGGAGGTACCGTTATATGGGGGCTATGCGAAAACGTAGACCGACCATTTACGAACTTTACCTGCCTACTGGTAAACTATGCATGTATGCAAAAATTTAGCCTTCTATCTCAATTCGTTCGAAAGATAGCATGATTACAACAGACAGAGAGACAGACGGTGTAGTGTGTCACCATCACATTATGTTGCCATGCATTTTGATATTCAGTATTTTGTTTTGTTGAGTTGGTCAGTGCCACAACGAGTTCATTGCTTTCATTGTTTCTTTGTTTTTCAGAGCGCTGCTCATATGAAGTTCATTGCTTTATGCTTACTCATATGTTGGGCGACAGTTTAGAGTTTCCAATTGGAAACTCAAATACTATTGTAATGAATCAGAGTTCGGCCAATGGGAATGAAGAATATCCCAATAGTAAATTTGATTGAGTGAAATTCCAAAATATGAATATGAATGAAAATATGAAATGCATGACAACATATGTAAAAACATCACATACACACATACAAATATACTCAATTGTAAAATAGCTTTGTAAGAACTCTTTTCTGATTGGTTAACAGAAAAGAGTATTGAGTGATATCTAGATTTAAGAATTTTTGTTAGAATTAAGAATTTTATTATAAATACGAAAAGGCAAAATAAAGAAGTCAGACTTGTGCTGACAACCATCAAGCTTGCTCCATTAGCAAAGCCAACAAAACATAAAGTCTCAATTTATTACATGGCGATCCTGCCAAATCTTGCTCTTTAGTCAGCAAGTATCCTGCGTTCCATCCGCAGTTCCTGCGTTCTATCCGCAGTTGAAAAAAAAAAAAAAAAAACAAAACATTTTTTTTTTTTCTTTGAAGACACTGCCATACTGTCCGGGCAGTCCGATCCAAGCCGTGGATCGTGGATTTGAAAACACTTAATGTCGGGACCGCAGCCACTAACCATAGATGAATATAGGAAGAGAAACAGACTGATTAGGACAGAGGATGAAATAAAGATCCCGAAGGTGAGCAGACCAAGGACGAGAGGAGGCTACACGTGGAGACTAAAAAAAAGAAAGAGCTCTCCTGATACGGGAGATAAATGCTGATCCGCCACCTCCCTGGGAACGTGCTTCCAGGCTCTGAGCACGCATCGATGAGATAGATTTCCTCTTAAGGAACTATCTCAGCACCAGAAATCAGAAGAATAAATAAAACGCTGCATCAATTTGCAGACGTTAGGACCAGTAAGCGCGTTGCGCTCGTGGTCAACAGACTATAATTTTTTTTTTTTTTTTTAAAAAAAAAACCCCAATAACAAAAAAAATATAATATGACTTCATTAAAAATTAAATAAAAACAAAAAAGAAAAATATTATGAGTTTATGAAAACAAAAATATATATGGAAAAATATGTGCAAAATGGTAAAGAAATACGTATCTTCATGCGATTTGTGCCAAAGAAATAAACAGATTAGACATACCAAAGAACCATTAATGAAAACTGATACGCCATTAAGCAGTTTTGATACAGTGGTAATTGACACTGTAGGACCGTTGAGACCCTCAGATAATTATAGATATATTTTAACTATGCAATGTGAATTAACGAAATATATAATAGCAGTACCAATGCAGACAAAAGAAGCTAAATCAATAGCTAGAAGTTTAAATGAACATTTAATATTAAAGTACGGAATATTTAAGACTCTAAAATCTGACAGAGGCTCAGAATTTGTTAATGAACTGATGGATGAGATGTGTAAACTGTTGAATATTGAACAGAAATTTTCCACACCTTACCATCATGAAACAGTAGGTTCAGTAGAAAGAAATCATAGAGTCCTAAATGAATATTTCCTTACTTTTGTTAATAATGATAATTGGAGTGAATGGATACCGTATTATGCTTTTGCATACAACATAACGCCACATGTTGACACAGGGTATTCACCATTTGAATTAATTTTCGGAAAATTACCAACAATGCCAGGCGAAAAAGTAATGAATAATGAACAAATATATGATACAGAAAATTATGCTAAGGAAATGAAGCTTAGGTTAAGAATTTCATTAAAGAATGCTAGGAATATAATTGAACAGACTAAAATTAAGAGAAGTTTAAATTCATTAAGTAATACAAATATAATAGATATTAAAATAGGAGATTTAGTTTTAGTTAAAAAGGAGAGTAGAAGAAAAAATGAATCACCTTATCATGGTCCATATGAAGTAATCAATATTGAAAATTTAAATGTAACTATAAGAATTAATAACAAAGAGAAAATATTTCATAAGAATTTGTTAAAGAAATATCAAAACTAATCTTAAGCCAAAATATTTTTAAACAAAACACTTAATATGTATGAATGTAACAAAAAATATTTTATTATCAGATACAAAAAAAAAAAAAAAAAAGGAACAAAGAAAAAATACTTAGCCCACTTAAGATCATATTCAATGAAAATAATTATGTAACTACTTATAAAAAAAAAAAAGAAAAAAAGAAACAAAAATTATGTGTTACTTGAAACCTGAACAATTTGTCATAAAATGTACACAATTTGTTTATGCACACAAAAAAAAATTGTATACATTTCTTTTAAGGGTGAGGGTGTAGTGTGTCACCATCACATTATGTTGCCATGCATTTTGATATTCAGTATTTTGTTTTGTTGAGTTGGTCAGTGCCACAACGAGTTCATTGCTTTCATTGTTTCTTTGTTTTTCAGAGCGCTGCTCATATGAAGTTCATTGCTTTATGCTTACTCATATGTTGGGCGACAGTTTAGAGTTTCCAATTGGAAACTCAAATACTATTGTAATGAATCAGAGTTCGGCCAATGGGAATGAAGAATATCCCAATAGTAAATTTGATTGAGTGAAATTCCAAAATATGAATATGAATGAAAATATGAAATGCATGACAACATATGTAAAAACATCACATACACATACACACTTTGTAAGAACTCTTTTCTGATTGGTTAACAGAAAAGAGTATTGAGTGATATCTAGATTTAAGAATTTTTGTTAGAATTAAGAATTTTATTATAAATACGAAAAGGCAAAATAAAGAAGTCAGACTTGTGCTGACAACCATCAAGCTTGCTCCATTAGCAAAGCCAACAAAACATAAAGTCTCAATTTATTACAACGGACATCGCTAGATCGTCTTAAAATTTTACGCTGATCCAGAATATATATACTTTGTGGGGTCTATTATGAATATTTCGAGGAGTTACAAACGGAATGACAAAGTTAATATACCCTCCATAGAATGGTGGAGGGTAGAAAAGCGAAGCAATTTTCCTTTTGCCTGTAGATTTTTTGAAGAGATTTAAAAAACGCTACCAGAACTATCCGGAAGCGCGCAGCAGTTAATTTTTCGTTTGTCGTGTTCGCTCTTCGGTGGTTGAAGCGAGAATCTATGAAAATACTTATCCCACAAGATGTCGTATGACCGGTTATTGTAAAGGCGCGTGAATTGTAGAAACTGTAAATTTTTGGCAGGCATTTTTATTAAGATTATTTATTTATTTTTCTTTTTTTTTAAGCCAAAATAAAATTGAATTTATTTGTTTCCCTTTCGAGATGAGCTTAATTATCTGAAGTTTACATAAAAGAAGCTACTATGAGACGCGTTTCGATGTTGGTTAAATGGTTTATAAGACAAATTTAGTGTAGATGATGGCTTTCAAGGGTCGTTTTTTTTTGGATATTAGTATCTATTTCAAATTTACTGCGAAATCTGTACTCAGCGAACCAAATGTCAGACGTCCGTTTTGTCCGACGTGTTGGGCCAACGTATGCCTGAATTGGGCTTAAGTTGAGCTTAGGGGCTATGCTCGGATTGACCTGAAATTTTTACCACGTGTAGATCTTTTTAACCAGATTGCAGCAACTTAATTTTTTGGAAGTTCGGATACAAGAAAATTTGTATTTTTGTACCGGAACTTTTTGAAAAACCCATAAAAATCGAAAATGGGCCCATGCATACTGCACGGTAGTCTACACTCTGGCATTTCCAAAATGCTGCCAAAAGTATTGATATCTCTTGTAGTTCCGAAGATAGTGTTGCACATCATGAAATTTATGTATCTAATTTTTATTGCTTTATATTTCGGAAGATATTGACTTTAAAATCGAATTCCGATTATTTCCAAAAGTTATAAATTTTAGAGAAGCGTAGAAACACTCAAGCCCCGGCCGAAGTCTGGCGACTTACAAAAATTACAATGTTTAGAAAAACAATGGATCGCGTAGTCGGTGTTGGACATACCCCAGGGGAGAAAATCTCAAACCCCCATGTGATACCATTTTGATTTTGGCAAGAATATAGGTTATAATGTAGCATGTAGATCTTAATACCCCATATTGGGTCCATTTTTGAGTTTTTAAGTACTGGTATAAAAATACCAATTTTCTTGCATTACCGGTTCCAATAACCATATGATAACTTGTTGGAGAGGTAATTCCATAAAAATGATACCCATTTGTAGAACCGGATAAAAACAGGATGTTGTATTCGAACTTTCGGGCCAAATAAATGGGTATTTTCCCTATGAAAAAAATTACTATACTAAAATTTCAAAATGATCCAAGCATAGCCCCTAAACTCAACTTGCTGCTTTTCTTATTGCATAGGTCGGTTAAGAACTCGATTTTGCATCCGAACTTTCGGGTCGAATAAAATATTACTTTGCCGTAATCACTTATGTCTACCAATTATAAAAAATTAAAATCGTCCGAACATAGCTCATAAACTAAACTTGCTTCAAATCAGACCATAAATTAAAAATAAAATAAATAATTCGTATATAAATATATAAACAACGTAGTGTATATTTGTAAATAAATGCATCGGTTACCTTAACAAAATAAAATTTGTTAAATTTTTAACATTATTCAATAATTCATCAATTACTTAATTGCACTAAGGCATCGTAATTTGTTTGGTAGGTAGAATGGTTCAAATACATGAGGAAATGGTGTATCCCATCCTGTTACACGTTTAACTGGAGCTTCTAAGTGCAGGAAACACTTATCTTGGATATAGGCTGCAATTTCCGAACCAAAGCCCTGTGTTAATGGAGCTTCGTGAGAAACAACGACACGACCAGTTTTTTTTACAGACTAAAATTATATTTCTACATTAGCAAAATATTTTTGTAAGTTTTACCATAATTTTGTCTTACGTTTGCGATTGTCTCCCTATCCCATGGCAAAATGGTTACCAAATCAATAACCTCGCAATCCACATTCAACTCTTTTTTAGCCAAATCGGCAACCTGCATAAGAAAGAGTTTTATATATTTTATTCAATGGAAATTATGAAAAGCAATTACCTCCAACAACACGTGAACTTGCGTACCCCAACCAATGAGTGTAATATCACTACCTTTACGTAAAATATCTGCTTGTCCAATTTCGGAAACATAACTTCCAACGGGCACTTGCTCAACAGCAGCTCGATACAAAGTTTTAGGCTCAAAAACAATACACGGGTTTTTATCTTTATTGCAAGCCAATAACAATCCTTTCGCTTTGATTGGCCCTCGAGGAACCACAACCTTTAAACAAGGAGTGTGTGCAAAATAGGCTTCAGGGCTTTGACTATGATAAAGTGCGCCATGACAAACAGGCACACGGAATGTTAAAGATCCACAATCGAATATGCCTCCACTTCGATAACGATATTTTGCTGCTTCGTTTACAATAGTAAATGCTTGGAATATATAGTCAGCGAATTGTATTTCCGCTATTGCTGTCGCAACACCGAAAGCGAAACCCAGCTATGCCTTGTTGGCACAAAGGAATATTAAAAACTCCATCTTTCCCATACTTATCACGAAGATTTATTGAACATCTAAAAACACCACCAAAGCCAAAATCCTTACCAAAAAGTAAAACACTAGGATCTTCCAGTACGAAATTTAAACGATTCCGGTGAATAATGTTGCTGAAATCATCAAAATACCGAATATCGGGAGGTACCGTTATCTGGGGATTATACGAAGACTTGGACCTGCGTAAAATACAAAAATTGTTGTCATAGGCTGTAGTACCCATTACGAACTACAAATACGAACTTTTAAATAATTCCGGTAAATAATGTCCCTAAAATCGTGGCAATACCGAATATCGGGAGGTACCGTTATATGGGGGATAAGCGAAAACGTAGACCGACCATTTACGAACTTTACCTGCCTACTGGTAAACTATGCATGTATGCAAAAATTTAGCCTTCTATCTCAATTCGTTCGAAAGATGATTACAATATTACAATTACAGACAGACATGACAGACGTGATTACAATAGACAGACAGACGGACATCGCTAGATCGTCTTAAAATTTTACGCTGATCCAGAATATATAAACTTTGCGGAGTCTATTATGAATATTTCGAGGAGTTACAAACGGAATGACAAAGTTAATATATCCTCCATAATATGGTGGAGGGTAGAAAAGCGAAGCACTTTTCCTTCTGCTTGTAGATTTTCTCAAGAAATTTAAAAAACGCTACCAGAACTATCCAGAAGCGCGCAACAGTTAATTTTTCGTTTGTCGTGTTCGCTCTTCGGTGGTTGAAGCGAGAATCTATGAAAATACTTATCCCACAAGATGTCGTTGTTGTTGTAGCAGCTCATACATCTGTGTTCGTTCGGTTTCCATTTTCTGACTCAGTTCAATCAGGTTCTGCCTCTAAGTCCAGTCTCAAAAAGGATGCAACCTGTATGGGTTGTGTCCATAACGAGACTGGAGTTAGGTGAGTAGGCTTGGCTGGGCAGCGAAATAAGTGCAGCGTGTCATGTGGGCCTGTGCAACATGCTGGGCAGATGTTCTGCACGTCGCCGTTGATCCGGGCCCAGTAGGAATTTAGGCGGCTGCACCATCCGGATCGTAATTGAGCCAAGACTACTCGGGTTTGTCTGGGCAGCTCTCGTTCTTCAGCTGCGACGGGAGGGGGATGGTCTCCTAGCACAGTATTCACTCTATATCCTTCAATGGCTTCTGAGACCGCATTAGAGTGAATACTATTCACTCCCGCTTGATAGGCCTGTTGATCTAGAGGCTCTCTCTTATACCTCTGTACCTCTCTCTCTAGATCATGAAGGTCTTTCCTAACGTGCCTGGGCGGAGGTTGCCTATCCACAAGATGGTGATTTGGATGGCTTTGTCTATGACACCCAAGAAGGTATTGCATTGACAGCATTTTGTTATGCTGTCGCACCGATAAGACCTTCGCCTCCTCATGTAGGTGATCGACAGGTGTCATGAGAAGGCACCCTGTTGCGGTTTTAAGGGCGGCATTCTGGCAGGACTGAACATTTTTCCACTGCGTAGCACTGACGTTGGCGGACCACACTGGAGCCGCATAGTTTACCACAGACCGGCCTATCGCGTTGTAAGAGGTCCACAAGGTTTCCTTATCAGCTCCCCAAGTACTGCCGGCTAGAGACTTGGGGACCTTGTTCCTACTTCTAATCTTGTCGCAGATAGCTGTGGTATGCGCGGACGACTTAAAGAGGCTATCGAATGTGACCCCTAATACCTTGGGGTAGTTGGTGGTCGGAATAATAACACCATCGACCTGCACATTCAAGGATAGCCACATCTCCGCAGTCCATGTGGTGAAAAGTGTGGCCGTCGACTTAGTGGCGGATATCTTCATATTCCTCGCAGTGAAAAAGGCAGTAAGATCAACAAGGTAAGCGTTTAACCGATCGCAAATGTCATCAATAATGGGTCCGGACGCCACGAGCGTACAATCATCTGCGTACGTTATAATCTCTATGCCGTCTGGAGGGCGTGGAATTTCAGAAAGGTAGAGGTTAAACAGTTAAACACAACTGTGTTTAACTCTACGGATGCTCGACTTCTTGTTTCTGAATTCCACGTACGAATGGCGTCCACACATGTAGTTTACTATCCAACGTTTCAAACTTGGCCGGAGGGTGGTGCGCTCAATGTCCTCGAACAGTGTGGCATGATTGACTGTATCAAAGGCTTTTGATAAATCAAGTGCCACCATAACTGTTCTATCGCACGGCCTGTTCTGGTTGAGACCTCTGCTGACATGTGTGGAAATGGCGTGTAAAGCTGTTGTTGTGCTATGCAATTTTCGGAATCCGTGTTTATGATCGGCTACTGGGAAACACTCTCTTATGCTGGGGAGGAGTAAAGCCTCAAGCGTCTTTGCTACTGGTGACAAAAGCGATATCGGCCTGTATGAATCACTTTAGCTGGCATCCTTTCCTGGCTTCAGTAGCGGGACCACCCTGCCCATTTTCCAGCATCGGGCATCGGGAACTACTAGGGTGGCTAACGACAGATTGAGAAGCTTTGTAAGATACTCAACTCCTGGTTCATCCAGTTGCTTCAACATCGCCATTGAGATTCCGTCAGGATCAAGCGCTTTGGATGACTTTGCGCTCCTGATGAACTGTGCAACATCTGCCAACGTAAATTGTGGTGGTACCTCCTCGGCTGGAAGGGATCGTACACGGCGTAGGATCCTTCTCTTCGCCCTGTCACTCTCGGGGTGCTCTACAAACTGCCGGTTAAAATAACATGCGCACCTCTTCGGATCTGTCACTTCTACGCCGTTAAATGAGACAGATGTCCGATCGTCCTTTTTTCCAGGGTTCGAAAGCGACTTAACCTTTGCCCACAATTTACTCGTTCCGGTACCGATGTTGCAATGCTTCAGATGTTCTATCCACTTTTTCCGCTTATGCTCACCTACTAACCTGTTTACATCCAGAGTAAGTTCCCTGACTCTGGGGTTGTTAGGATTAGTACGGCGAAGCTCATCTCGCTCGTTTGCTAATCCCGCTGCCTCTGCTGGGAAATTTGGTCTTATTTCAGGTATTCGACCAGCAGGTATATAGCGAGCGGCTGCAGCTTTGATGATGTCCCGGAAACACCTATCTGCTACTTGAACATCAGATTGGTTGGGCAGTTCTCTGAAGCGGCGATTGGTATACTCTCTGAATTCTTGCCAATTAGCTTTTCCGTGGTTAAGGAAAGTGCGGCGTTCAGAGTCAATGAAGTCGGGTGGTCTATTGATGGCGATAATAATGGGGAGGTGGTCTGAGCCTAGAGAAATGACTGATTGCCAAGTTACGTCATTCGTCAGACCTGGGGACACGATGGATATGTCCGGAGAACTGTGGCAGTCTCCCCTTATTCTGATGGGTGCGTCCTCATTCACTGTGCAAAACGTGGAGCTATCAATTTGCTCAGCCAGCGCCATGCCTCTCTGGTCATTACCTAGAACGGAATGCCATAATTCATGATGGACATTGAAATCCCCTAGCACCAGACGGTTATTGCCTACCAGTAGTGAACTGATTTTAGGCATATAACGTGGGGCACATCTATTTAACGGCGGAATGTACACGTTGAGCACCTCTACCTCGGCGGTTCCACACTTGACCGCTACCCCCATACATTCCATGTACGGGTCACTAGAGTCAAGCTCAGGCGAGATAGGTCTGTACTGGACAGAGCGGTGCAGTAGGAACGCTAATCCTCCACCTCTGGAGCGATCCTTCCTCAGTACGTTGTATCCATCACAACTTTGAAGCCTGCAGGTGGTACTCAGCTTCGTTTCCTGGATCGCTGCGACCTTGATGTTCTTCCGACTCATAAAGCTTACAATTTCGTTGATCTTACCTCTGAGACCATCACAATTAAATTGGAGAAATGATGCATTATCCGGAACCTGAACAGCAATGTGTGGCGTCAACTGCTGCGTAGATTGCTGTTGAGGAGATTACGGGGGAGTCTCATATTGCGACGACGATGAGGACGCCGAAGATGAAGACTCACTGGGGTCTACATTGACGCAGCAGGAAGCAATGTAGTCCCTATCGCTATACTCCTGTATCCGGTTTAGGCCGGAACAATTCCGGAAATGCACCCACTCCATGCATCCGTTGCACCTCACCGAAACCGTTCTGTGGTGGATGCGATTACGACAAACGGAGCAGAACCATGGTCCGGGGTTGGTCTCGATCCCGGCTCGAACCAAGAGAAGACGGAGCAAACATTCCGGGTAATGTTGCTCCCACATCAGAAAAATGGACGAACACGAACATGTATTTGCTGGGTTGGCGGCCCCTGGTCGGAGAAATGTGCCTCCGAGTCAATCAGGTACATAGAACCGGCCGCCGTGAGATTGACCGTATAACCGGTTATTGTAAATGGCGCGTGAATTGTAGAAACTGTAAATTTTTGGACGGCATTTTTATTAAGATTTTTTATTTATTTTTCTTTTTTTTTGTAAACCAAAATAAAATTGAATTTATTTGTTTCCCTTTCGAGATGAGCTTAATTATCTGAAGTTTACAAAAAGGGAACTACTATGAGACGCGTTTCGATGTTGGTTAAATGGTTTATAAGACAAATTTAGTGTAGATGGCTTTCAAATTTCGTTTCCTTTTTTTGGATAATAGTATCTATTTCGAAGTTACTGCGAAATGCATAGGGAAATTGAACACCAAAACGTTGTCTGTACTCAGCGAACCAAATGTCAGACGTCCGTTTTGTCAGACGTGTTGGGCCAACGTATGCCTGAATTCGGCTTAAGTTGAGCTTAGGGGCTATGCTCGGATTGACCTGAAATTTTTACCACGTGTAGATCTGTTTAACCAAATTAATTTTTTGAAAGTTTGGATAAAGGAAAATACAAGAAAATGAGGGAATGGTGTATCCCATCCTGTTACAGGTTTAACTGGAGCTTCTAAGTACAGGAAACACTTATCTTGGATATAGGCAACAATTTTCGAACCAAAGCCCTGTGTTAACGGAGCTTCGTGAGAAACAATGACACGACCTGTTTTTACAGACTAGCCAAATCGGCAATCTGCATAGGAAAGGGTTTTATATATTTTATTCAATGGAAATTATAAAACGCAATTACCTCCAACAACACGTGAACTTGGGTACCCCAACCAATGAGTGTAATATCACTACCTTTACGTAAAATATCTGCTTGTCCAATTTCGGAAACATAACTTCCAACTGCCACTTGCTCAACAGCAGCTCGATACAAAGTTTTAGGCTCAAAAACAATACACGGGCTTATATCTTTAATGCAAGCCAATAACAATCCTTTCGCTTTGATTGGCCCTCGAGGAACCACAACCTTTAAACAAGGAGTGTGTGCAAAATAGGCTTCAGGGCTTTGACTATGATAAAGTGCGCCATGGCAAACAGCTCCACAAGGACGGGGAATGTTAAAGATCCACAATCGAATATGCCTCCACTTCGATAACGATATTTTGCTGCTTCGTTTACAATTTGATCAAATGCTTGGAATGTATAGTCAGCGAATTGTATTTCCGCTATTGCTGTCGCAACACCGATAGCGAAACCCAGCTATGCCTTGTTCGCACAAAGGAATATTAAAACCTCGATCTTTCCCATACTTATCACGAAGATTTATTGAACATCTAAAAACACCACCAAAGCCAACATCCTTACCAAAAAGTAAAACACTAGGCTCTTCCAGTACGAAATTTAAACGATTTCGGTGAATAATGTTGCTGAAATCATCAAAATACCGAATATCGGGAGGTACCGTTATCTGGGGGCCATACGAAGACTTGGACCTGCGTAAAATACAAAAATTGTTGTCATAGGCTGTAGTACCCATTACGAACTACAAATACGAACTTTTAAATAATTCCGGTAAATAATGTCCCTAAAATCGTGGAAATACCGAATATCGGGAGGTACCGTTATATGGGGGCTATGCGAAAACGTAGACCGACCATTTACGAACTTTACCTGCCTACTGGTAAACTATGCATGTATGCAAAAATTTAGCCTTCTATCTCAATTCGTTCGAAAGATAGCATGATTACAACAGACAGAGAGACAGACGGACATCGCTAGATCGTCTTAAAATTTTACGCTGATCCAGAATATATATACTTTGTGGGGTCTATTATGAATATTTCGAGGAGTTACAAACGGAATGACAAAGTTAATATACCCTCCATAGAATGGTGGAGGGTAGAAAAGCGAAGCAATTTTCCTTTTGCCTGTAGATTTTTTGAAGAGATTTAAAAAACGCTACCAGAACTATCCGGAAGCGCGCAGCAGTTAATTTTTCGTTTGTCGTGTTCGCTCTTCGGTGGTTGAAGCGAGAATCTATGAAAATACTTATCCCACAAGATGTCGTATGACCGGTTATTGTAAAGGCGCGTGAATTGTAGAAACTGTACATTTTTGGCAGGCATTTTTATTAAGATTATTTATTTATTTTTCTTTTTTTTTAAGCCAAAATAAAATTGAATTTATTTGTTTCCCTTTCGAGATGAGCTTAATTATCTGAAGTTTACATAAAAGAAGCTACTATGAGACGCGTTTCGATGTTGGTTAAATGGTTTATAAGACAAATTTAGTGTAGATGATGGCTTTCAAGGGTCGTTTTTTTTGGATATTAGTATCTATTTCAAATTTACTGCGAAATCTGTACTCAGCGAACCAAATGTCAGACGTCCGTTTTGTCCGACGTGTTGGGCCAACGTATGCCTGAATTGGGCTTAAGTTGAGCTTAGGGGCTATGCTCGGATGGACCTGAAATTTCTACCACGTGTAGATCTTTTTAACCAGATTGCAGCAACTTAATTTTTTGGAAGTTCGGATACAAGAAAATTTGTATTTTTGTACCGGAACTTTTTGCATCCGAACTTTCGGGTCGAATAAAATATTACTTTGCCGTAATCACTTATGTCTACCAATTATAAAAAATTAAAATCGTACGAACATAGCTCATAAACTAAACTTGCTTCAAATCAGACTATAAACTAAAAGTAAAATAAATAATTCGTATATAAATATATAAACAACGTAGGGCATAAGTTGAGTTTAGGGGCTATGCTTGGATTGACCTGAAAATTTTACCGCAGGTAGGTATTTGTAACCTGATTACGGCAATATAATTTTTTTGTGGGGGAAATACCCGGTTACCCGGTTATTCGACCCAAAAGTTCGGATACAACATCCGGTTTATATCCGGTTCTACGTAACCGATATCAATAATATGGGTATCATTTGAAAGCTATCCAACAAGTGGTCATATGACGGGGTAACTGGAACCTGTTTCGGAGAAATTTAGGAAAATGTGCATTTTTGTATGAGTAATTTTTGAAAAACCCATAAAAACTCGAAAATGGACCCATTATAGGGTCTTAAAATCTATACACAATATTATAGCTAACACTATTGCCTTTCCAAAATGGTGTCATATGTGTTGATATCTTTTGTAGTTCCGAAGATATTGACTTTTAAAGTCGTTACTTATGAAAGCAGTTTGAGTGAACCCAAGTTTTGTGTCGGGTTTAACGTTCTTGTTAATCTGCTTTGTTTTTAATTTGGTGTTGTTAGAATATTATGGATCGCGTAGTCGGTGTTGGACATATCCCAGAGGAGAAAATCTTAAGCCCCGGCCGAAGGCCGGCTGCTTACAAAAATAACAATTTTTAGAAAAACTATGGATCGCGTAGCCGGTGTTGGACATACCCCAGAGGAGAAAATCTTAAGCCCCAGCCGAAGCCCGGCTACTTTCGAAAACTACAGTTTTTAGGAAACTATTGATCGCGTAGCCGGTGTTGGACATACCCCAGAGGAGAAAATCTTAAGCCCCGGCCGAAGGCCGGCTACTTACAAAAATTACAATTTTTAGAAAAACTATGGATCGCGTAGCTGGTGTTGGACATACCCTAGAGGAGAAAATCTTAAGCCCCGGCCGAAGGCCGGCTACTTACAAAAATTACAATTTTTAGAAAAACTATGGATCGCGTAGCCGGTGTTGGACATACCCTAGAGGAGAAAATCTTAAGCCCCGGCCGAAGGCCGGCTACTTACAAAATGTACAATTTTTAGAAAAACTATGGATCGCGTAGCCGGTGTTGGACATACCGCAGAGGAGAAAATCTTAAGCCTCGGCCGAAGGCCGGTTGCTTAAAAAAGCTATAAAGGTCAAAGTCAAATGCATCTAGACTGGAGAAAAATATAATTTAATGAATTCTATCTCTTATATCCACGGAACCACAAAAGATATCAACACATATGACACCATTTTGGAAAGGCAATAGTGTTAGCTATAATATAGTGTATAGATTTTAAGACCCTATAATGGGTCCATTTTCGAGTTTTTATAGGTTTTTCAAAAAGTACTCATACAAAAATGCAAATTTTCCTAAATTTCATAAGCTTTCAAATGATACCCATTTCATTGCCGTAATCAGGTTACAAATACCTACCTGCGGTAAAATTTTCAAAATGATCCGAGCATAGCCCCTAAACTCAACTTGCTCCCAACGTAGTGTATATTTGTAAATAAATGCATCGGTTACCTTAACAAAATAAAATTTGTTAAATTTTTAACATGATTCAATAATTCATCAATTCCTTAATTGCACTAAGGCATCGTAATTTGTTTGGTAGGTAGAATGGTTCAAATACATGAGGAAATGGTGTATCCCATCCTGTTACACGTTTAACTGGAGCTTCTAAGTGCAGGAAACACTTATCTTGGATATAGGCTGCAATTTCCGAACCAAAGCCCTGTGTTAATGGAGCTTCGTGAGAAACAACGACACGACCAGTTTTTTTTACAGACTAAAATTATATTTCTACATTAGCAAAATATTTTTGTAAGTTTTACCATAATTTTGTCTTACGTTTGCGATTGTCTCCCTATCCCATGGCAAAATGGTTACCAAATCAATAACCTCGCAATCCACATTCAACTCTTTTTTAGCCAAATCGGCAACCTGCATAAGAAAGAGTTTTATATATTTTATTCAATGGAAATTATAAAACGCAATTACCTCCAACAACACGTGAACTTGCGTACCCCAACCAATGAGTGTAATATCACTACCTTTACGTAAAATATCTGCTTGTCCAATTTCGGAAACATAACTTCCAACGGGCACTTGCTCAACAGCAGCTCGATACAAAGTTTTAGGCTCAAAAACAATACACGGGTTTTTATCTTTAATGCAAGCCAATAACAATCCTTTCGCTTTGATTGGCCCTCGAGGAACCACAACCTTTAAACCAGGAGTGTGTGCAAAATAGGCTTCAGGGCTTTGACTATGATAAAGTGCGCCATGACCAACAGCTCCACAAGGCACACGGAATGTTAAAGATCCACAATCGAATATGCCTCCACTTCGATAACGATATTTTGCTGCTTCGTTTACAATTTGGTCAAATGCTGGAAATATATAGTCAGCGAATTGTATTTCCGCTATTGCTGTTGCCCCTGTATTCGCAACACCGATAGCAAACCCAGCTATGCCTTGTTCGCACAAAGGAGTATTAAAAACTCTATCTTTCCCATACTTATCACGAAGATTTATTGAACATCTAAAAACACCACCAAAGCCAACATCCTCACCAAAAAGTAAAGCACTTCCGTCCTCTTCCAAAGCATGATCCATGGCACTGTTTATAGCTTGGAACATGTTCATTTTCTGAACTCCGTGTGATGCTACTTTTTTTACATTTCGGTCAGGAAAATATGTGAAGTGTGAACGGGTCAGTGGAAGATTTTTAATGTTTTTAAAAAAAGTCAGCAAATTTTTGCTGTATTTGTTCATTTTTTCGTTTTAAAAATGTTTTTTGCAGTATGGGACTGATTGTTTAAAAGCACTCTATTTCATTCTTATGCAACAGGTTATAAGGGTTACCAATATGTTAGAATATTTTAATCAACCGACACGGATCTGCATTATTCATAACAGTCAAGGTAGATGTACTAGGTAATCGCATCAGCCCAGCTGACGGCACCATGAAATGTCAAAACAAATTGTTGTAATGAAGAATTCGCCCTAAATGAATGCAACAACAAATTTGTTTATGTTGTCTTCCCTAAAAGTACCTTTTTATAATATTTCAAATAATTTAAGAGCAAGTTTAGAGTAAAACCAGTAAAAAAATTAAAAGAAAATGAAGGAAGGAGGTTAGAATGGAGTGCAGCTTAAGAATTAAGTTAGCCTCAACATCTAAGATTTCCAAAGCACATCACGGGAAGTAGTGCAAGAATTCGACTCTTGCCATATGCAGTTCCGGAAAACTTGCGGTTTAAACCAGTAAAATATAGTCATTATACGTTTCTTGGTTTAAAAAATATCGCAATACTACAATTAATACTTATTTTACTCTTATTTGTTTTACAATAAAAACTTTTATTGCGACGTTCGTCTACGACGAGAGGCACACAAAATAAAATGTAAACAAACACCTCGTTTCTGATTGGTTGAAACAAATTTGCCGCAACCTTTAAATGTCATGGCGAATCTATGTTTTTCGCCTTAGATGCCAATTTTGACATTTGAGGGGACCACAAAAGTTACTTTGTTGTAGCAATTCGACGATGCGGTTACCTGTTAGATCTACCTTGATAACAGTGTTACTTAAATTTAACGCACACGGACAACGTAATTCACCACACAAGTTAAACACATGTACATATTTACACCAATGTTACCGAAATACGTCGAGTGTACGCCATTTTAAAGTTTAACCATTTCAACCATGGCCCAATTATAAAATCTTCCTTCGAGCGAATTAATCTAAAAACAGCTGTTATTTTACTAAATGAAATGTCAAAATTAATGCTTGAGGCGAAAATATTTATTTTCGCCTTGACAGAAGAATTTTGTGGCGAATACGTTTTTTGTATGTATAGCACATGATAGAAAAATACAGGTAGACGCATTGACGCAGTTGCTTGGACAATGAACTGACAAATTGACTTTGATATTAAAAATGTTGAATGAAAAATTGTTGATATTTGTAAAAATTGTTGAAAAATGCATATCATAACAACATCCGATTGGTGCCGTATAAGAAAAGTTATAAAATGTACGTATTTAAAAAAAATTAACAGTTTTGACATATCAATGTTCCCAAGCGTTGATGCCTCTACCTACATTCTTCTACCATGGTATAACAGCTCTACTGCATTGTAGATATGTAAAAAAAATTTAAATGTGTTTTTTATTTTAAAAAAATAAGTTTATTTTATAAATTTTCTTATACGACACCAAACGTAGGTTGTTGATATGTAATTTTCAAAAATTTTAGAAAATTTGAAGGTAGGGCTATGATACTATATGATTTTAATTTTTTTATTTTCATGGCTTAATATGTCATATTTATTTGTTTATGTATGTGTTTTTTTTTTTTTTCAATAACAAAAAAATTTTTCAGAAAACATTCAAATTCGAGTGTTTTCAAAATGTTTATTTCAACGTATGCATCGACAAAATCTAGAGTTTTTGTAGCGAAATAATCCTTTAGAGATATGTAGTACATAATTTTGAAAAGAAGTGTTAACCTTTCATTTAGTTATCGCGGTTTTCAATTATTTATTCAAAATAAATGCAACAAGTTGTTTGATTTTTTTTGTTTTGATACTAATTCTGACATTACAAGCCAAACAGGTAGACCTCTATACTTGCAATTTTTTGAAAGTTGGCCTACCTTCTCTTCATTGTACCATGGCTGAAAGAACAAAGAATATTGAAATTTTTTAAATTGTGGACACATATGTATATTCTTTTGCTTGGTGGCACAATTACCAAAGTAGTCTTATGCAGACGTACGATTACATGAATCATGGTAGAATAATACAGGTAACAGCAAGTGTTGCTGTACAACAAACGTAACAACAACCACATACAAGTTTTATTATGTAGGTAATACAACTGTCAGATTTTTATGTCCAAAAATGTAATGTAAACAAAACAATACATTTTCAATAAACTATTTCAATTTACAAAAATTTTCATTTTTAGAATTTGGATTATTAAATTATAATGCAGAAGAATATTTCTTAACATATGCTATGCTTCATAGCATTCCTCAGAATGTATAGTTGTTAGCTGTATATCCAATCTTTCAACACTTCAAGCAATTGCTAGAAAATGGTGATAAAAGCAACATTCCTTTGAAATTGAAACCAAACTGCATATATACATAAATATACGACTATAATTGAATATACGACTATATTACCTAAAGTGTTGTCGCTGTTCCTTAACCGCTCACATTGCCCTACAGTTAACTTGTGTATCAAAGAAGTGTATACCTACTGTATATCCAGAATCGAATTTGACAGTAGTATTAGTACTGAGTCAAATCAGCTGAGTTTTGCTGCTACATGTAGTAATTATACCATGTTTCTAAAATTCCAGGGACCAAAAAAATATTTATTCTACCTCTGCAACTGTGTAATGAGTAAACCAATCTGTTCTCTTCTTTTGCAAACTCAAATTTAAAAATATAATATTTGCTAAAGGGCTAATGACAAGCTTTTTTATGTTTGAAACTTTAAGACAATTAAGACTATACCCTTATACTATGACTAAGGGCATTATATCGATTTATGTGCCTGATCCTCCCAATAATACGATGGCTTACCATACAAAATTAAATCAACTTAAAACTTGCATTTGTTTTATATCTAATGTTAAATCGAAATATTTTGGCATACAACGCTGTGTTTTCCTCCTAAAAACGCAACTGTTGAAGTCTGCACCAAAATGATCAAATTTTAAAATAGTTGTGACAGATACTCACAAAAATAAACGCAAACTTTTGGAAAAATTAGAAAAAATTAAAAAATATAAATAATATGGATGCAGAAAGGTATATATTATATATCAAGGTAGATATACAAGGTAGTCGCATCACCACAGCTGACGGCACCTTTAAGTGTCAAAACAAGTTGTTGTAATGCCGAATTCGCCCTAAATAAATGCAACACAACAACAAAGTTTGTTTACGTCTTCTTCACTAAAAGTATTTTTTTCTGATATATCAAAATTTAAGAGAAAGTTTAGAGTGAATTACCAGTAAAAAAAGAAAATGAAAAAGTTGTCCATTTGCAATAAGAAATACCGTGAGTCACGAGAGCTATGACTCAGTTGGTCTAATCCAAACTTCTACTAGCCCCAGCTCTTCCAGCTTTCTGTGGAAACTCTTTGTATGGTTTGAAAATTTGCATCAGCTCTGCTACCAAGATGACTTTTACTGGTGACGATATTGTTTATGATATTGTCTATGTTATTTCTTTAAAACCATTTGATCGGCAACACTTGATTCTGTTGTGCCATCTGCTGGAGTCGGTGTAACCTCCGGTTACCAACATTGGCTGGAATATTAGTGGTATTTGTTGATGACGTAGAAGATATTACAGTTGTGGGGTTGTATAAACATTTCGAGGGCTAACTATCAACTTAGGGCTGGTACAATGGTCCCGGTAGTCGAATTATTACTTGGCTTAATTTCCACACACAACACAAAATGTAAACAAACACTCGTTTCTGATTGGTTGAATCAAATTTGCCACAGACTTTAAATGTCACGGCGAATGTATGTTTTTCGCCTTAGTTGCCAATTTTGACATTTGAGGGTACCACAAAAGTTGCTTTGTTGTAGCAATTCGCCGATGCGGCTACCTGTTACATCTACCTTGTTATGTATGGTATATTTGTACATGTATTTGTTTGCGCATTTTTCGCAGGAAATACAAATCTAACTCCTATATACTGGTCACCAGCGGGAGAAGGGATTCTAATTGAATTTTGAGAAAGAATATGTATAAGCCTTGAGTAACCAAAAAAAAATATATATCACTTATATCATATTTTGTTTTTGATTAAAAACAACATTGTCATAAATATATGCATAAAATCCTTGTATATATTTTTAAGCATCATTTGCTGACTTTCCTGCTGATAGCAACAAGAAAACTTGCGATAAAACATCAATTCTTTCCATTTTTATTCTTCAAACAATTATTATTTCAAATTCTTGAGTAAATAAAAAAATCATTTTAAACAATACCTTTTGTTGCTTAAGTTGGATTTAAAAATCGAGTCTATTAACACTGACTTACCTAAATGGGATATTATCTATCATACTTAACAGCGTTACTTAAAATTCAACGTAGTGTATAAAAATATTTAACTTGTCGACTATGGTAAAATGTTTTGTACGTCTGTATTACCCAAATACATCAGGTCCATATTTTAAAATCTACCGACCAACAATTGGTCTGTTCCAGAACTGCAAGAATGTAAAAGTTTTTATTACGATAATCGATTTTACCTTTATGATATCGAAGAAAATAACTAAAACTAGTAGATTCTTGCAGGAATTGAAACAGATGTTAGATTGTAAATGTTGAAAATGTTCAACTTTGAAATTTTGTACGCCCTATGTATATGGGTAGCTCTTATAGAAATACATGTGTTTCACTTGTGTGGTGAAAACCGTCGACCGAGTACGTCGAAATTTTGGGTAACGCTGTAACAGGTCGGGTAAAAGACCGTTTGCATACAATATCTCTTCCCGGATTAGCCCTGTTAGATGACCATTCACAGTAATGCTATGTTTACATTAAAACTTTTTGTAAGGTTAACCTACTTTGAGAGGATTTATTTGAAGTATAAATAATGGATATGACAATTTTAATCCAAATCCAGTCGGTTAACCCATTTATATATAAACGTACTGTAAAATTGCTATAGAAAATTTACATTCAATTTATTCTTAACCTACAAACTTAACATATCTACCAAATAAAAAGTACAAACTGGATGGAGTACAAAAAATATGTCGGCATACATATAAGTCTTAACACTTCCCTAAAGTACAACGAAGATATTGACAATGCAGTTGAAATATTCACTTCGGTAG